TAAATGCTTTATTTGATCTACTGGTACTTGCTAAGTATATTTATGGTGTCAATATGTCAATCATTTTCTCAGGTCAAGGTTTTATAATACTTCCTAATGTACAAATATATTCATAATAAAGGATTTCTTTAGTCCACAACAGGATATCTGAATTTCTTTTGAAATTTTGTAGGATTTCTGAGGAATATTCTAAGTGTTCGGTTTAAGATCATACATGTATATTGAGTTTCGATTAGATGAAAATGATTCATTTAATGAATGCACAAAATAGATCTAAGTAAAATAGTGAGGGCTATATTGAAAAGGTTAAGATTAGTCATTGGTTTCAGAAACATGTTATGCAATGCACTAAATATGTAGCTAGTGTAACAAAGGTTTATTTGAACACAAGTATCAGAGGGATCAATAATTGATTAACCATTTATAATTACAAAGCATTTATACATAATTACAACTTAGTATAGACTTGACAGGAATGAATGCTGTACTCTTGTTAAGTAAGCATATATTCTTAATTATTGTCAAGATGTTCTTGTAATATTTATTGTCATAATATGATATTTCTTTATCAATAAGGACTGCAATGATTTTCCTGGTTCTGCCATTTTCTATTCTCTTTCCAGTTTCTATTCATTGTCAAAATATTATATTTTTACTCTCAATGTCAAGTTATTTGTTAACAATTATTATTTTTTACTAAAGATACTTTGACTATTAATTGTGGTCAAGGTTTTTTTTAACCATTGTCAATATATACCTGATTTAGGCTGATAAAGCGTAGTAACAGACATGTTGAAAGAACAACATTTGCCTACAAATAGTTGAATTCCAACTTGGAAGGAAGCATCTTTTATAGCCCACTATAGATGTATTTTCAAAGATATTGTGTTTGCCAGACCTTGGTAATGGGATAAAAATTAATATAGATATTCTAATTCTGACATATAAGATGATGTATTCCATTCTCGTCAGAAGTAGATTAGAAACCTATGAATAATTTAATTGAGGTCAAATATTTATTGATTTGTTGTGTAAACTTAGAAATTCTTCTGTCAACATTTGGATTTGATCATTACTTTGTCTGGAATATTAGACTTTGGCATCAAATAAATTGTGATTGTTCTATATGAATGGTGATTATATGGTGATTTGTTTTAATCCATTAAATGATTGAGTTGCCAGCGAAATGTTCAGCAGTTTGGTGCAGATTTACTCAAGAACTTTGATGATTACATTTCACTTGTTGCAGATAAATCATTTATTTTGTGATGGTTTCAGGTAAATTGTCTTAAATATATCATGATGGTTTAGGTGAATTGTCTAAAATTTATCTTGATAGTTGATGTATAGTGATTGTTGAAGGTTTGGTTTGTCTAAAATAAATTGTGGTGGTAGAAAATGATTTCTATAATAAATTGTGATCGATGGTAGAAAATGATTTCTATAATAAATTGTGATGGTAGAAAATGATTTCTGTAAAAATGATTTCTGTAATAAATTGTGATGGTAGAAAATGATTTCTGTGATAAATTGTGATGGTAGAAAATGATTTCTGTAATAAATTGTGATGGTAGAAAATGATTTCTGTGATAAATGGTGATGGTAGAAAATATGATTTCTATAATAAATTGTGATGGTAGAAAATGATTTCTGTAATAAATTGTGATGGTAGAAAATGATTTCTATAATACATTGTGATGGTAGAAAATGATTTCTATAATAAATTGTGATGGTAGAAAATGATTTCTATAATAAATTGTGATGTTATAAGGTTATTCGTTTATTTTAAATTGTGATGGTTTAAAGTGGTATGTCATTTTGAATTGTGATAATGGATAAAAAGACATTTTTGTCTTAAATAGATTGTGATTGAAGCTAATATGTTGTGATGAAAGGTGAATAAGATAAATAAAGATAATGGTAGTTTAAACCATTGGCTGTGAAATCTTGCCCAATCTTGTTTTCATTTCTCCCAGAGTTTTGATGTTTTAGACACATTGGTGTTGTGTTAGTTAAGTATAGTGTGTTGAAAGATCAATATCTACATTAACTTTCTATCACTAACTAATCATTATTCTATAAAAACTTAGATTCACTACCATCATATTACTGTTATCAATGTAAAAAAATCAATCTTGTTTCTTTCTAACAAGAAATAACTACTTTAATAGTATGGTACTTTAACTTACTGACTCAATACCTGGCCTCTGATAGTTATTATTAACTGAGGTTGGCAACTAAAAAAATCCTAACTTTACAATTTGTTAAATTAATGACCTTAAGAGTGATTGAGGTTACAGTTGTAAGTATCAATAACCGTAAAGATAGTGGCGTTTGCAATAAAGTTCCTTGGTATACAAGGATTGTCAGTGCAAAGCTTTTTTTTATTTTCTTTTTTGAAGAATACTTAATAGTTATGTTTAATAGCAAGATTATCAACCTTTTGTGAAAAGCAAATATGTATTCTCCTATGGCAACAGTTTCAACCAATCACAGTAAAGTTAAGAACCTATAAAGTTAAAAAAAAAAATGTTTTGATAAAAAGTTCACATTTAAGACCTATCATAAAATGAAACTCTGTATCGTCATCCAGATGAAAAATAGTATTATACATCTTCATAATACGTTCTATGTAACTCAGCATTTCAATAATTCATGTAATACAGAAAATCATTAACTAATATATTACAATATTTCTGAAATGACTAGAAATAGACTGTGAATGGTGGAAATATGATGCCATTAATATCTATTAATATATTAATTATTGATGTATATGTTTGGGGACTGTTTTGGACATGTGTATGATTTGAAGTAAATGTTAGTGATTATTGTAAATAATTAACAGTCAGGTTGTATTAATCACTTGAAGGGGACAGTTTTCACCATGTGTGTTAGTGGGAGGATACTGCATAGTGAAAAATAACAAATACTAATGGAAGGAATCCTAAAAATATTGTGTGATTTCAGTGATATTATAAATAATTGATATGTGATTAATATCAGAAGACAGGTTGTATTTAACATCAGAAGACAGATGTCATTGTTGGCTGTTGTTATCAATAATCAATATACTTCACTTATCAAGTGTTAATGTTACAGACTTTGTTAATGTCATCTCTTAACAACTCTTTGTATAAATCATAGATCTTTTAGTTATAGAACATAGGATTTGATAATAAATCACTACCAGTAAGCTTATAGGATTGATAATTATTTCACAATATTAATGTAAGTGAAGGAATGTTTGTTAGTGAGATTTTTTGGAATTTGATGCACCTTGCATGGTTGTTGATTTATTTTTTTCCAATTGGACATTTTTGAACACTGTTCCTATTTAGTTTTGAATAGAATGAATGGAATTGACCAACGATTTAAAAAAGAATGTTCATATTGAGTTACTGACCTACTGAAAGCAACTGTGATCAACTTGCCACTTACATATTCTAACAGCTCAGGTTGACAACAAGATCAAATTTTTGTTTGAAATTAGAACATAAGCAACTGGGATCAATGGTGATTTTCCAGTTATCAGTGCTCTCAGTTTCACTAAATCCATCGATTGAATACTCAATTCTTCATTGGAAATAATGCTGTTGTTTTAGAAAGTACATCATATGAGGTTAAACCGGTAATAGGATTCTGTTATTGTAATTTATCTATCATTTATTATAAATGATGGCTGGAATCCCATGCGTTCTTATAATACTTTCTATCATTGCCATCTTTTCCTCTTGAAAATAAGGGTGAAAGTCGATTATTCTCAAAAGTTTGATAAATTCTGAATTTCTGTTTTTGACTGAAATAGGCGGGGGACATGTTAAACTTTCATTGCAACAAAAATTATACCTCTCAGATCAAAATTGACAGAATAAAGGCCATTTGAAGATGTGCTATAAATGAAGTGTTCTTTTTGAAAAAAGAGACTTATCCTGTTTTTTTTTTTTATAGAGAGTTACCATCCAAGATGATTATGGGCTAAAGGCTTTTTAATACTCTTTTAACTATTCTTATATGAATTAATGTGACATGTGAACACCAATTCAAGACCAATATTTGATCATATTGAAATTATTTCTTCTTTATTTCTATTACAGAGAGTGAGGTGTAGTAAATATTGAAATGTTAGTACAAAACCAGATACCATTTTAAACAGAGCAGACGATAAAATTATAAATCATCAGACATCATGTTTAAAGAAATATTTCCCCATTATTTGAACAACGTTTCATTTAATGATGATATTTGCAGCACTAAGATTTCCAAAAACCACTCTGAAACATTTGTTATGTTTCCAAAATATGCTGGTATACCATTTAATTTAATAGTCAATGCTATAGCATTTGTTGTAAGTAACCTTTTAAAATTCTATTCTTTATCGTAGAACATTTAAGAACAAGAAACACATGGTTAAATTAGACTAAAAATATTGTTAAATTGTTTCAAGACCTTGTTCTAGGGACATGCTGAAGGACAAAGTATTATTAGAAAATGTTCTGAAGAAACAGAAAACTTTGTTATCATTGCTCTATTATGCTATTAAAGGGATTGTACTAAAACTAACACGTTTTATGACGGATTCCCTCTAGCGACGTCATAAAATGCGTTAGTTTTAGTGGAATTGCAAGAAACACAGACGTCAGAGTGAAAATTGGAATGGTGCAAATTGTCCCCGATACACATAAAAAAACACTTTTATAATCCCTTTAATGCAATTTAACCACTGTTGAAATCAGCAACTTTGAAAAGGCTAATTATGACATAAACTTGCCATGAATATGTCAAGAAATGGCATTGCAGTTTTTGTTAGGTTCTTCCATGAGATGCACATCTGCGCAGATTGCATCTTTTGATATTGTTGCATTTTATAAGAAAATATTTGAAAAAATATATTTTGCTAGAACTCTTTCATTCATATTCTAATGTTAAAATGTTTGTGTCTAATTTATGATTTGTACATGATGCCATAATATAAAACTAACTCATTTATATTTTAGGTACTGTTAATATTATTCACAATTTTAAGAAAATTTGCATGGGATTATGGGAGATTAGCGTTAGTTAGTCGTGCAGAAGAAAAGTAAGTTCATGTTTTTCATATTAAGATTTTATATGTTTATTGTTGTCAAAACAATTTTTTTTTCTTTTTTTCCCCTCAGCTTAGTTAAATGCACTTTCATAGCTATTTAGGCTTTAACATTGTAATGTCACACATTATTCAAATTATATATTTTTGAAGATTTTAGTTGTTGTCCTCTTTTTATAGAAGGTTTGCCTTGTTGTTTTTGCCAAATCATGTTCATACATTTTATAAGCTTGAAACCCAACACTTTTGACTTTTTCAACATAAGTGAAGTAAAAATACAGGAATCGAATTCCGTGGAAATTGTTTTTTTTTTGGGTACCCCTGAAGTCTTAATACATGCTCAAAGTTGGGGGTGTGCCATAACTAAACTCTTAAGTAATGTCAAGTTCAGGCAATTACAGGTTTTGGTTCATAAATCCTTTAATCTATGATAAAACCCCTTTCTGTTCTTTTAAGATATAAGGCCACACTATTTTGTTTCCGATATATTTATGGCAAATATTTATTTTTCATTATTAATTGTTTTTTTTTAAGTTGTTTTGTTTTTATTTTAATTTTCCTATGTTTAACAGTGTTCCTGTAAGTCAAGGCAACCAATATAATGTGTACGATGGTTTTTATTTTTTATTATTGCTTTTGTTTTTGCTTTAGTATTTAGACTATTTCTTATTGATTAACCATTTTTCTATTGAATAGTCAGTCCTTTACAGGGACAAAGGCTAATGTTTACATCTGAACCTATCTAGTTTAATTGCAGATCTTGATATTTTGTGTTTTTTCTGTGGGTCACTCTACTTTCATCCATGATCTGACAAATCTGTTATGAACTACATGTTTTACTGCTTAAGATATTCAACCAATCAAATGCACTGTTCAATAAATGATTTGCAGACAAAATGGAATTTTTATTGAATAGTGACTTATGTATAATTTAAATTTTCGATTGGATCAAAATTTGCTTGAAAACAATTAAAAGAAGAGTTTATCTAATCTTAAATGTCACAAGAAAACATCTTTATCTGCATTTGAATCAGATTGTTTGTACCAAAAAGGATAAAAGATTAAATTATGTTCGAAAAAATATTCAAAATTTGTCACAAATTGCTAGGGTTGTTATTTCAATCTTAGATGTCTGAAGACAGTAAACTATATGATTCTATGTCTAATTTAATTATTAAAGAAATGGTTAATTAATAAAGGACCTTTCTCACCCATTATTTACCTCTATATCAACTGAACCTGTGCCCGTTAACTTTTCCTATGGTATATGATCTACTAAGCTGAAACCTTATAACTATTTATGATTAAGGGGCTACCAGGTCTCTAATTTCGTTTTGCTAAGAGAATAGTGGTAATAAGATTTTTTATAGGTTTCTATTTTTCCTTAAACCCTTTTGGTCTCTTATGTTCTTGTAGTATAGAGAAATGGAACGGCAATGTTTGAAACATATCACTAACATGCATATATTCATGAACCCATAATTTAGGGAACATTATTAACTCACCTTAAGAGAGTTCCTTGACCAGTGCTTACAGGTTTATAGATTTAGATGGACAGACTTAATTTTGCATACAAAGACAATTTAAAACATACACACAAGCACATACTAAAAATATTGTGGACTGATTGTGTTCATATTGAATCCAGTAATTGACCATACCTGTACTGATAACTGATTTATAAGACCTTACATGTTTATAATATTATGTTTCATACATTGCCAGCCTGTGTTATATTTAACATATTAAGTATATGTATAATATTTAGAATGTCATGTCATGTCTCCTGTATATATTATAATATTTCTAACTATTGTTCAGATTACTCAATTTGTATTGTAATAATTATAATGTGTAAGTATGACTAATTAGATTAATTAGGTGTAGGTATTAACGAGGTAATTTAGGTATTTCTATTCCTCTCACCCTTTACAATCCTTTACCTAGATACATTTGGCCATTGCTTTCATTGGGATATGTCTCAATACACCATAATTCTGTATTCCTACATCTCATCCCTACCCTAAGACAGATTCAACATTCTGGCAACAAGTGGCAACATGGCATATATTGAATGCTTTTTGTAAAAATAAATTCTGTAAATTGTGAAATATTTGCATCAAAGCGTTTTAGAGATATTCACTAATTACATGTTAGAGAATTCCTTTGTGTATTGTTAATTCCATTACACAATGAAATGAATAAATAGATGAGACATCATTATTTATATTGATGTATATTTATCAGAGCTACTGCAAAATTATTAACTCAATTCAGTGTGGGTGTTTAATTTGTTGATTATACCATACATATTTGAGGACTGGCTGAAGTGCAGTCAGTTAAGGCGTTGAAATCTTTACAAAATGTCATTTGAGTGATTAAGTCTAACAAATGGTGGTCATTGGTTGGAATCAAATTATTTTGACCCAGATGTGAATGGGTTTGAATGATCCAGAAAAGAGTTTTTGCCAGCGACCAGCTGGTAGACAGGATCCATGTGAATTTAATAAAAAAAAAATGTTTTTGTGTCACCCTCCTTCCCCCCTGAAATAATACAACTCATTTGAAGGAATAATGTCAATTCATTACTTAATTGACGTTAAAGAATAACAACGTACCTAAACTAACACTTGTGTAGGGGCTTAATATACAAACATGCCGCCAAACACATTTGAGATTCCAAAGAACTCAAATGACTGGCCCCACACAAGAGAATCCCTCAAATGAGCTGCTATACCATTAATAAAAGCTAACACTTATAATCTAAAATTGACATAGTAATGTAAGCAATTTACTGCACGTATATATAGAAAATATAAATTAGAAGACATATAAGTCAAAACAACATCGAGCACAGAACATGTGGAAATTGAAAACAACCATTGAACAACTATCACACTAAAGTATAAACTACTATAATACTATCACAATTATAAAACAATAAGAAATGATTTGAACAATTCACATAAAACTGGGAAAAATAACACAATAAAAGTAAGGACGGATAAACCATACTAAGTTAAACTAAAAAACCAAGGTGAAAGACCCAGGCTGAAGGGAAACAACTAATATCAGTCTACACTGTCAATCAGCAAAGTCCCTTTCGACCAAGGTCGATAACCCAGGAAAGTCAGACAAACTCAATGGAGGCTAATTCCAGCACTAATTCTAGGAAGTCGAATGTACGATAAGAAAGCACTACTTTTCCATCTGCCCAACCGTCGTATAGTGTCTTCAGGAATGCCTTGTAAAAAAGCAGACGTAGCTGCGCCAATTCCAAAAGAATGTAATTTGTAACGACTGGACTCAAGGCCTAAAAGGGAGGGACAGAAATTAAGTAATATTTTACTGCACATGGCGCACAATCTTCCAATGAAGAAGAACATGAATTAAAGGAATTAAAAGTTTAACAGGTTCATGCAAGTTAGATTTGTGTTTATAATGATACATTGAAATCTCCATTTCAGAAAGAATGGAGTTAAAAATAAACTCAACGTTATTAAATTGTACCACTTCTGATGCGGACGCTCATGTTTTGACAACTTATTCGCCTAATCGGAAAAACCCAGCAAAGGCTAAAGTGAACAGTGCTTTTAACAAAATTTGGTCAGTAAACAAGGGTATGACAAGAGGAATGGCATGTAATAATTGGACGTGTAATGACTTGGTAATAGTCAAGCGAGAATCAGACATGGCATTATTGCCATAATTTTGTGCCATATCTGCTATTAAAGATGAATAGGCCAAGAGTTTTGAAATTTCCATAGGGAATTTTTGAACATAAACATCCATAGAAATATCAAAGGCCTTGCGCCAGACTGAATAAGGTATTTGCTTTGCTTTTTGAGGAGTGGAAGACAGCTTTATGACAGAGTCGTCTGTATCTAAAAGGTCAATGGACAGGTGACTTTTTGAAGTACCTGGCAGCAGAGCAGACATATCAATAAAATGATTACTCCAAATATCTTGTTTCATTTTTTCTGCAATGTGAATGGAGATATGAACTAAATCATTTAAATTGGCAGCTGAAGAAAGAACAGTAGGAGCAGATAAAGGGATACCTGCTAATGGGAACAGTTGTGTCGCATCAAAGGACAATACACTTGGACATGCAGTTGTAGCTGTGGTTGGCACGGAATCGCTGGTAATGGAAGCAGTTACAAAGGTTGTAGCTGAACATACTTGCACGTTGGTGGAATCTGTAATAGAGGTTAGTAGCAGCAACTGAAGGTAATGGGCTATTCAACATACTAGAAGATGGACCTGAAACTGTTGTATTAGCATTTGCAACAGAAGCTGAAGGCAACACTAGACGCCTTTTAATCAATTTGTCTATTAAGATGTTAGTAAGACGGTCTTCAGCTGTTGTTGGAATCAGGCCCACATCTTCCCCTGAAACATCCCTAGTATGTGTTCTTTTTGGCATACTGAAATGAAAGTAACAACAATATGTAAACTCACATAGTCACATAAGTTAAAATTAAGAGGCTTAACACTCTTGTAAGCACAACACAATCAAACCACTGTTGATTCCCAAGTGACGTTCCACCAAGGAACACCCAAAGATCCAGCGAAATTATTACTAATCAGAAGTAACAAAGGACAACCAAGTGCCCGTACCCAACAAACGGACAACCAACTGATACGTACCTAGCAGCTATACCAACGACAGGAAAAACCGAAACCAAAACAACAGGATACACCAAATCCCAAATTCTCTAGATTCACTAATATTTCGAGTAAGGTCTCCGTCACACGTCAGTACGTCAGTAAAAACGTCAGACCCTCAGTATATACATCAAACACGTCAGTAAACACGCCAGACACGTCAATACGTCGATGCTACCTTACAAACTTATAACTTATGTTTATAAAAACTACTACATCAAAAAACGAAATTTCAAGAAATTTGCAAAACAAATCGCCATTCTTTACAGTCGTTTCAATTCAATTAGTGCCGCGTACAAATTAAGAATTATTACTTATAAAGAGAAAAAGGTTTAAAACAACTGCCTGGTTGAAAGACTCAATCGCAAACTGGGATAAGGTGTTCCAGAAAGAGTAAGCATGCTAAAGATATGAAAACGCGTCAAAGAACTGTTATTCCTCACAAATCAATCCGTCGGTACATGAAAAATAAGATAACTATGTGAACTCTCTCAAAACAACTGCCTTAATTGTTGGCAGACTCAATCGCAAAGTGGCCTCAGGTGTTCCGGAAAGTGTAATCGTCCCCTAAAGCATTTAGGTCGAGTTTAAACACACTTCAGTAGGTAAAAAACCCAAGTCCGTCAATAAATAAAAAATAAAATAACTATGTGAACTCTCTCAAAACAACTGCCTTAATTGTTGGCAGACACAATCGCAAAGTGGCCTCAGGTGTTCCGGAAAGTGTAACCATGCCTTAAAACGTTTAGGTCGAGTTTTAAACACCTCTCAATAGGTAAAAACATCTGTACGTCAGTAAATACGTCAAAGAACTGGTTTTCGTCTCACGTCAATACGTCAGTTCACACAACAGCTAGACGCGTCAAAGAACTGTTATTCCTCACAAGTTAGTCCGTCAGTAAAGAAAAGTTAACCAAACTATGTGAACTCTCTTAAAATACCACGTTTTTGACAGACTCAATCGCAAAGTGGCCTCAGGTGTTTCAAAAAGTGTAAACATGCCTTAAAACGTTTAGGTCGAGTTTTAAGCACACTCCAGTAGGTTAAGACTCAATACCGTCAGTAAACACGTCAAAGAACTGGTCTTCGTCACACGTCAATACGTCAGTACACACGTCAGATGCGTCAAAGAGATAGAAACACGTCAAACGCGTCAAAGAACTGTTATTCCTCACAAGTCAGTCCGTCAGTAAAGAAAAGTTAATCAAACTATGTGAACTCTCTTAAAATACCACATTTTTGACAAGACTCAATCGCAAAGTGGCCTCGGGTGTTCCAAAAAGTGTAAACATGCCTTTAAACATGTAGGTCGAGTTTTAAACACACTCCAGTAGGTTAAGATTCAAAACCGTCAGTAAACACGTCAAAGAACTGGTCTTCGTCACACGTCAATACGTCAGTACACACGTCAGACGCGTCAAAGAGATGGAAACACGTCAGACGCGTCAAAGAACTGTTATTCCTTACAAGTCAGTCCGTCAGTAAAGAAAAGTTAATCAAACTATGTGAACTCTCTTAATATACTACATTTTTGACAGACTCAATCGCAAAGTGGCCACAGTTGTTCCAGAAAGTTTAACCATGCTTTTATACATTTAATCACACCTCAGTAGGTAAAAACTCCCTTTCGTCAGTAAACACGTCAAAGAACTAGTCTTCATCACACGTCAATACGTCAGTTCACACGCCAGACGCGTCAAAGAACTGTTATTCCTCACAAGTCAGTCCGTCAGTAAAGAAAAGTTAATCAAACTATGTGAACTCTCTTAATATACTACATTTTTGACAGACTCAATCGCAAAGTGGCCACAGTTGTTCCAGAAAGTTTAACCATGCTTTTATACATTTAATCACACCTCAGTAGGTAAAAACTCCCTTTCGTCAGTAAACACGTCAAAGAACTAGTCTTCGTCACACGTCAATACGTCAGTTCAAACGCCAGACGCGTCAAAGAAATGAAAACACGTCAGAGAGCTGTTATTCCTCGGAAGTCAGTCCGTCAGTAAAGAAAAGTTAATCAACTATGCTCTCTTAAAATACTGCCTTTTTGACAAGCTTAACCGGAAAGTGGCCCCAGGTGTTCCAGAAGGTTTAAGCATGCTTTTATACGTTTAGTTTGAGTATTTGTGGTATGATTGACGCATTGGCTTTTTTTTACCTGTTGATCGTGTGAAAGATTGAATGCTCTATCTAAGAAGTAATGTTCCCGATGAACTGACAGATTTGTTGGACTATGTTGATAATACATATGTGTCTGATGGATTTCGTGCTATACAGCCCCCTGTAAATGTTCCAGGAGGTCCTCTTCCCCCAATAAGAATGAGGAGGCGACCAGCTCTTTTTCCTCCCGAGCAATGGAATGTACATCTGGCCACCTTAAATAATGAAAGTCGTACCAACAACTTTTGTGAAGGATGGAGGCCACTTTGCGATTGAGTCTGTCAAAAATGTGGTATTTTAAGAGAGTTCACATAGTTTGATTAACTTTACTTTACTGAAGGACCAACTTGTGAGGAATAACAGTTCTTTGAGGCGTCTGACGTGTTTTCATCTCTTTGACGCGTCTGACGTGTGTACTGAGGTATTGACGTGTGACGAAGACCAGTTCTTTGAGAAGACCAGTTCTTTGACGTGTTTACTGACGGTTTGAGTCTTAACCTACTGGAGTGTGTTTAAAACTCGACCTAAACGTTTTAAGGCATACTTACACATTCTGGAACACCTGAGGCCACTTTGCGATTGACTCTGTCAAAAGTGTGGTATTTTAAGAGAGTTCACATAGTTTGATTAACTTTTCTTTACTGACGGACTGACTTGTGAGGAATAACAGTTCTTTGACGCGTCTGACGTGTTTTCATCTCTTTGACGCGTCTGACGTGTGTACTGACGTATTGACGTGTGACGAAGACCAGTTCTTTGACGTGTTTACTGACGGATTGAAGTTTTTACCTAATGAGGTGTGTTTAAAACTCGACCTAAGCGTTTTAAGGCATGTTTACACTTTCTGGAACACCTGAGGCCACTTTGCGATTGAGTCTGTCTAAAATGTGGTATTTTAAGAGAGTTTGATTAACTTTTCTTTACTGACGGACTGACTTGTGAGGGATAACAGTTCTTTGACGCGTTTGACGTGTTTTCATTTATTTGACGCGTCTGACGTGTGTACTGGCGTATAGACGTGTGACGAAGACCAGTTCTTTGATTTGTTTACTGACGATGTTTCCAATTCGCTGACTGTGAACTTCTGGAATGACAAACCACGTGACATTCCCGACAGTCAGCGTCACAAAATTCATTATCTGCAATAATGTTTATTTTTTCTTATACTCTTGACTTTTAGACAAACTTGCTTCAAATTTTTTATACTCTTATTTCCAAAGAATGTTCAATATATGCCATACTGCCCAAATCTCTCTTTGAATAAAAGAGAGTTGTGAACTATTCAGGAATAGGTGTAAATCAATAACAAGTCAGACAAGATTATGATAGAAAAGTGATAATGATGATACTAGATTGATCTTTTAGTTAAATCAGCTCTGGTTAATGCATCAAAAAATTGAGGTTGTCTGCTAGAAATGAAAAGCTGGTAAATCAATGCTGTACATGGTATACTTCTTGTCCAAAATATTAATTTTAGCTTGGTTATAAGTACAGTTACATCCATTGATTAAATTGCTTTTATCATCATCGATTTATTCTGGGTCATTGTCATCTTTATCATATTGAGTGCACTTTGCATATTCTTCTGGTTTATAACTAAGACACCGTCCTCCATAGAACCCAAACATCTTCTGGAAAATAGTATTTAGAGAAGTTAGAAAATCACTTCTACTGTAAAAGCATATAGAAAGGTGGAATAGATTAGAGAGGGAGGTTTATGTGACCTGATACATACCTGCCATAACAAATATTTTCTACAATCTGTCATGGAAGTCATGAAGGAATTATTAGTGTTAGAGGTCCTTTATATATATATGTTAAAATTTAGGAGTGCCCTTTCTCTCTGAATAAGCATGCAAGCTCTTATGGATGCTGAATTGAAAATTGCATATCTCGAACTATAGTATTTCATTGTAATTTAGAGTTAAAGTGTTATTTTATATATCTTTTGGGATTTTGGCATTTTATAAAAAATTTTAATCTAGATTAGGCATTAGCCACCATTATGTGGTAACTTTTTGAAAAGGACGATAGGTTCACTGGGTCTTCATACATTCAGCTTAGACATGTAGTGCCTTATTTTTGAAATAAGAAAGATCACTATACACTATTCTATCGAAGTACCATGTTTAATTTTTCATCATTTTATAAAGAAGAGGTGTTAATCTGAACTTGAAATAATCATACCAGGATAAATTCTAAACCATTCATTGCTAATAGGCTTACTAAATAATCAAATCAAATTTCTTCAAAATTGTTTGGTTAACATTAGCCTATGTAAATGTGCTTACTATCATAGCTATTTAATTGTAGATGGACCTCATTATTTTATGGTGATCATGATAAGAGAGATTTACATGGATCTCAGGAATCATTTGATACATCTTTACATAAACAAGATAAGGTATGGTATACATTTTATATATCACCATCATAATTTATATAATATACTTTATTTAATTTGAAAAGAATTTTAAATTTATTAAGTCTTGTATTTACATTAACAAAACTCACATATAGTGTTTCTAGATGGTAAATGAAATTCCAAAAATGTATCCAATCATATATATACAAAAGAAGCAGCAAATTTTCTGATTGCCTTCAATCTTGAAATTAATTTCAGCATTTATTATCCTGGATTCCAGCTTTCTTCAGAGTGAAGTAAGTTTCCCTTTAATATGCATGAAATTTGAAACTCTTCAGTACTTTATATTTTCCTTATTACATTGTGTTACCATGAATTACTGCTTCAAAAATGTCTTCTTGAGATAATGGCAAAGATTTTACTACTCTGAAACTAAACTGAAAAAGATACAAATAAAGCCATTTTGGGTTTGAAAATTTATGTTTGATGAATGTATTAGGGGTTATTGTGATAATATTGTGATAATTGATCACAAGGAAGTATTTTTTATCTTTTGCAGAGATTCAGATATTCTACATAAATGTGGCCGTGATGCTATACAGTATATGTCCTTTCAGAGATATTTGATTATATATGTAGCTATAATTTGTCTGCTGTCTATATGTGTTATATTGCCTGTTAACTTCCAAGGAGACATCTGTAAGTTGATTTCGATATTTATTATGACTTGGAGGAAAAGGATCACATTTGTTTATTATGAAATTCCTCGGGAGTTTTCAATAAAAAAATGAAATATCTTTAAGGTTCCAAAGATATTCAAGACTAAGAATGGTCATATACCACATGATTGATTGATGTCAAAATATCTCGAATAAGTTGGCATCAATTATGGATACATGATATGAAAATGTATTTTTGATGTCAGCACAGGATTGCAAAACCCTTAATCAAATTACTGGAAAATTCTCAATGTAAATATAAAAGGATGTCCTGGGTGTATATTGTGCTCTGCCAAGTCATAAGATATTACTGGCTCTAGTCTGTGGTATAAGCAATTCACAGGGATTTGTTGACTCATCTCTCTGTTAATTTGTTATAATTGTTAGCTATGACTAATAGCAACTCCAGATTGATTAATACGACATTGTCTGGTTGAATAAGGTCATCATAGCATTAAAGACTAGAATATCTGACTTGGCAATATCTAAAAAAGAAAACTGAATTGGCAGGCATGTCATGAAACAATACTATAAAACTGATACAACTATATTCTAAATAATGTAATTGCCAACAACATACATAATATTTATTGAGTTCAAACCATGCAATTATCATCTATTATACACATTCTAGAATCAACCCTTATAATTATATTATCTTATTCTAGTGGGAAATGCTACTGAATTCAGTCATACAACAATAGGCAATGTGCCTTCTAAGTAAGTTCTAATTGAAATTTATTTCTTATGTCTGTTGATCTTAGTGAGTTTGTTGATGGAAATTTAATTAAAACAGAATAGATCTTTTAGTTAGAGGATGATATCGATGAGTAACTATTAGTTTTACTTGTTGTCTAGACAATAGATATTGATTTTTTTCTCAATATTTTGATTTTAATACAATAATATTATCTATAAAATAGTAATTCAGCTTGATATATCACAGATTGTATGGGTTCATGCTATATTTTATGTTGTATATTTGCATCACACCAATACTAAAGGTTCATATTCAGTGCATCATTCTATATCATGCTATATTCTCCTGTTATATATTTGCAGCTCACCATTATATGAGTTCATGCTATATTCTCAGTTATTTAATTTCATCTCACCATTACTATGGGTTCATGCTATATTCTCCTGTTATATTTTCAGCTCACCGTTATATGAGTTCATGCTATATTCGCAGTTATTTAATTTCAGCTCACCATTACTAGGGGTTCTTGCTATAATCTCCCGTTATATATTTGCAGCTCACCATTATATGAGTTCATACTACATTCTCTGTTATATATTTTCAGCTTACCATTACTATGGGTTCGTGCTGTATTCTCTGTTACATAATTTCAGCTCATCATTCCTATGAGTTCATGCTATATTCCACTGTTATATAATTTCAGCTCACCATTACTATGGGTTCATGCTATAATCTCCTGTCATATATTTTCAGCTCACCGTTATATGAGTTCATGCTATATTCTCAGTTATTTAATTTCAGCTCACCATTACTATGGGTTCATGCTATTCTCCCATTATATATTTTCAGCTCACCATTATATGAGTTCATGCTATAATCTCTGTTTTATATTTTCAGCTCACCATTACTATGGGTTCATGCTATATTCTCTGTTATATATTTGTTAATAATGGTGTTTATTGTGAGACATTTTCATGTGAATTTGGAATTTGAAGAAGATGAACAGGTAAATGAATTATGTTTTATCATTTTAACAGAACCATAACTGTATAACCAACTGTAGTCAACTATAGTTTCTCCATTCCATTTTCCCTTCCCACATCTTTTGTTTCACATCTGCTTTCTGTGATTCTGCACCATTCCATTTTCCAATCTGCCATCTGTGATTTATGAATTGTAGAAAAACTGGTCAGTTTATGATGTCTTTGTTAAGGTCTTCATGTAGTCAAGTTTTTTCTGAAATTAAGAATGCCACTGATGCATGACAGGAAAAGAAATGGTGCAATTAGAAACTAAATGTTCTCTGATTCACTTACATCTCATAGATAGAAAACCTCTCTCTATTCTCTTCCATCTAGTGGCTATATAATTAATAGAATGAAGTGGTTTTTTCTACTTGTTCAATAAAAATTGACTTGTTTTCATTTCCAGGTTTCAAGAACATTGTGTGTGTCCAATATTCCTAAAAATAAATGTTACCAAAGTCAAGTTAAAGAACATTTTCGGTAAGTTTGGACTTTTAAAGGCAAGTAAACCGTTATTTTTTTTGTTTGGATAATAAATATTTTGGAGAAAATATTTGAATTAAATGTTAAGAAAGACAAAATAAAATTCTTATAGGTCAAAATTCAGATGTCTATGGTTCCTGCAATTCCACTAAAATTAAGCGTTTGATTACATCACTAATTTCAAAGGTATTTCTATGATAAAGCATATTTTGCGATTAGTGACATCATCAAACACATAGTTTTTTTGGAATAGCAGGAACCATAGACGTCTGATTGACAATTGGAATGGTGCAAATTGATGCTATGACGATCCCTGATACACTCAATTTACAAAACTTATTTACAATTCCTTTAAACTTTAGATCAAATATCATATGATTTACTTATACTTGTATAACTTAATGATCTATTACAGTGATGCTTATCCAGAAGTGGTTGTTACAGATGTTCAATTTGCCTATAATATAACTAAACTAGTTAATCTAGATAAAAAGAGGTAATTTATCAGATTTATCAATATTCTACTGTCTTGCATTTTAGAAGATCTGACATCCAACAAACTTGCATATTGTAGTTATATCATTGAATTGAATCAACATCAAATAATCAATAGATTAAATGATGTTTAATAGGTTGAACATGAAGATGTTATTAGTCTGTAGTGATAATGATATTGGTTTGTTAGATCAAGGCTTGATGACATGTTGATATACAGAATATTTATTGGCATTTCAATGGCATTAAACCTTGTCACCAACTTGTAACCAATATTTATTATTAAAACCAATTCTATTGTATTCTAGCAGTCACATCTGTCTAATTAAACTTAAACCAAAGTTTCGTTCTTTTTTTTATTAGCTTTTATTTTTGATATAACCGCTTCAGTTAGGGTCTAATGACAGCCATCTTGAACATTAATCTATTTGATGACGTGAACATTAGACACTGAATGCATCTTTTGTTTGCATCACAAAGTCCAAGCGTTCTAATATTAATTAGTCTGAAATTTTTCAACCAAAGGGGAAATAGATAAAGTTATAGATAGTAATATGAATTGATTTATATTATTTTATAGAGAAAGAGCATCAGAAGCCAAGATGTACTCAGAAAATGAATTAGCTAACAGTGGTGATAGACCTAATATGACACCTTATCCTTGTGGACAGTGTTGTTGTACATGTTGTGGTTGTAAAAGGGTAAGTAAGAAGTACATCTAAATCTAAGAACACAATGGCCAATTTCTTCCTTTGAATCAAGGCATAACCAGTAAACAATATCATTTTAATTGGGTATGGCTATGACCTCAAAATATGGGATAAATTTGAATATGGCATGGTTGGGAATTGACAACTTAACTTGTTTCTGTTTTGTTGAAGCGGAGAGGAATCAGATGTGCTAGTCCTACCTCAAATTACTGAAAATATTACCACCATTATTTCCCTTGAAAAACTAGTTTTCAGAAAAATAAGATGGATGTTTGAAAAGCAAAAATGATCAGACAGTTTTTATTGATAATTTAAAATGTAATTTACTTTCTTATACCATTAATCTATTGTTTTAAGGTTGATGCTATAGATTATTATACCTATGAAGAAAAACAACTAATAACTCAATGTGAACAGGAAAAAGTTCATGCTTATCAAGATCCTGTTGGAATAGCTTTTTTAACATTTCAATCAGAATCTATGGCAGAAAAGTAAGTGTCAAAAGACTTTGTATTTGATTTTTGTTTCTATTGTGTTATCATCACTTGCGTTAGTAAGTGATCTAGTGCTTATGGGTCACCTTGAGGTCCTCGTTTCAATTCTCACATAGCCATAGCCATGACCATGTCGTGATGATTTCCCTTTGTCAGTAATGGGCTGACATCATAATAAATATGTCAAGGCCCTTTGTGTAACAAGGTATGCGCATGAAAAGGGGTTTATTGTTGCTGTCTTTCACTAGATACTGAAAAGTTTTGCCACAGTTGTTTCTGGTCTCTTTTGAAATAACACTATTTTTATTATATACAGAGTAAGAAGAGATTTTAGAGCTAACTGTAAAGGCACACACAATCCTCAAACATCAGCCCATTATTCTAGTCTAGCTGTACAAGACTGGCAAGTAAAATTTGCTGCTGCTCCTGATAATATTTACTGGTAAGAAACTTTTAATTATAATGCTTTAAGTGATTTGCAAAAGATACAGCATCTCCGTCTCCTATGCTGTTATCGACGTATCGAATTTGAATGTATGGGCTATATTAAGTTAATGCCAAGCGGTTTAATGAATCTAAAACTGAGAATTATTATTCTGTTTGATATTTATTACAGGGAGAATTTAGCTAGACCAGCCTGGAAATGGTGGGTTTCAGCAATAGTTATTAATGGTGCACTATTTCTATTGTTATTTTTCCTTACTACTCCTGTTATGTTAATCAATGTTATGGACTCATTTGATTATAAGAAAAAATTAGAAGACTTACATGTAAGATATTTGTTTAATATTTGATCTTGTTTTCTACTCACATCATCACCCACATTCACAGTTTTTTTTAACTACAAATGCAGTATGAAGATGTTTATTATGAGAAATTTTTCAGGTATATGTTACCTTGCCTAGCAAGCTATCTTTTATCATGTTTTGAATGTATGGATGATATTGGTATCATTCTTATCTCAGGTTCCCCTGCTTTTGTTATTTCAGAGTCCGTTATTAGTACAGTTTCTACCTACTTTATTACTCTGGACTTTTTCTGCTATTTTACCAAATATAGTCTATTATTCTGATCAGTATATTGGTCATTGGACAAAGTGAGTTTATTTTAGTATACTAGTTTCTAGTATTTTACCTTGCCTTACTTTCTTGCTGTTTAGAATGATTTCAATACTAAGTTTTATTAGTAGTTTGAATAAGTAAAAATATGGAAACGCTGTGTGTAGCAAAATGATACAGGACCTTCCAATAGAATTGTAAGAAAAATGTAAAATATGTATAGAAAGATGGTTAAGAATTTTTTTCTTTATTGCACTCTTGAATACTTTACCATGAAAATTTAAAATCTTTATTGATTATAATTTGATATTTTCAGAACTGCAGAACATCATGCTGTGATGAGGAAAACATTCATATTTCTCATATTTATGGTTCTTATATTACCATCTTTAGGATTAACTAGGTGAGTTTTATTATTTAGTGTCTAACTGTTAAAGCTACAAGATTCTGATCCTAAGCATGGCAGGTCAGCACTGATTTTCAAATGTTTAATTTCTCTTTTTGTTATTTTTTTTCAGTGCTAAAACATTATTTGAATGGTTTATATTAGATAAAGGAAAAGGTTTAAGATGGCAGTAAGTATTGTTTTTTATTCGAACTACATTTTTTAGTAGCTTTTTTGAGAAAACTTGTTATGCTATAAGATTAAATGGATCCAAATATAATTTATTACTTGGCAAGCTATCTTTAGTTATTAATTCAGCCAATCCATTTATAAATGTGTTCAGAAAATACATTAATTAAAGATCTATGCCACTTTGCTTGAAGTAGGACTACTAGTTAATTTGTTATCCTTATATAGTATAGATTCTTTTTGTCTTCCTTGCCTCTTATGTGGAATAATTAAAAATGCATCAAGTTTTTTTTTCATTATAGGTGCATATTTCTGGCTGGTAATGGTGCTTTCTTTGTGAATTATGTTATAACATCAGCATTTATTGGTAGTGCTCTAGAATTAATCCGATTTTCTGAGTTATTTACTTATTCTTTACGTCTATTGTTTACAAGATCAGCTGCAGAGAGGAGTGCAGTGAAAAAGGTAACTTATTACTTTCTTGTTTGTGTGAGTTGATAGTGAGTTATTTAAAACTATTAATTAGTTAATGATGTGATTAAATGATACAACTCAGTAATCAAATCACTTATAACAGTAGGAAATTGATTAAAAACTACTTGTTAATGATATTAATAAAAGTCAAATTCAATAAACAAACTTCTAACCACAGTGATTATGATGTGATTATAGAACAATCCTCAGTAATCAAACCTCTTAAAAACTTAACCTAAAACTCATAGAAAATGAATTTGGGTTTTTAAAACTACTCAGTTCCAATCGCAACTGCCTTCTTGAAATTTTTTCATCAAATCCACTTGGAAGGAAGAAAAATTGCCCCTGTCACCCCTTCCTTTGTAGAGATTGCAGTTTGTGAATTTCAAGATTTCAAGGTTCCTGTAAGCTATTGTAGCAAAATATTAATGAGCTGAGTGTCCTTAAAGACCTCATTATGTTGATTAATTTTTTTCTGATTATTATTTCAGTCTGTCCTGTGGGATTTTCAATATGGTTGTCAATATGCCTGGATGTTATGTGTATTTACTATTATTGTATGCTATAGTATATTGTGTCCACTTATAGTACCATTCGGTAAGTAATCTTCTTAAGATTGTTTTTGCAAAGTGTTTGAAACATTGGAAATGGTTTGAAATCTGACAGTGATCTAAGCTGGTTTCTCAAAACTTTTAAGAAAAGCTGCATGTTCACAAATTTAAAACTAGAAATGTTAACAGTCGAAATCACTGACCATGTTTTTTTTAAACCTTATAACCAATAAAATTTGTTTTGTAGGTTTGGTGTATATGATATTTAAACATATGGTAGATAGATATAATATATATTTTGCGTATAAAGAATCACGTATTAATAAACATATACATGCTTCAGCTGTTAATTTTGTTATTATGTCTGTAATATTATTACAATTCACAGTAGTATTCTTCACTGGGTTACGAGCAGGTAAATCAACTTTATTTTCTGTTATTTTTTCCTCATATGATTGTCTCAGATGCAAATAGAAAGCCCATGAAACCTTTTAAAATCTGTTTATTAATTATGCTTTTGGCCGCAATATAGTTAATCCAAAATTGTTATTAGTTCGTGCAAGGACTATTTTGATTCCAAAAATTTGCTGGAACATGTTAAAAGTATAAGAGATATGATTTGTAACATGGGTATTCTGTTTTATCAATTTCAATAAGTATAGTAGAAAAATATTATAACAGTGTTACTACTTTAACCCATGTATGAGCCATTCATTGGTAACCTGAATGATTTATCATAATGATTTGTTAATTAAATTTTAGGTTTCACTGAGCCAGTATTTGTGTTCTCTTGTGTTGCCTTATTTATGGCTATGATTGTGTTCGTTGGTAAAATAAGTTTTGGATGGTTTAAACATTTTGGTACCAAGAAATACAAGGTATGTCTTGAAATTATTCTTTTCATTGAAAATAGAGTGGTTAACTAACATTTGGGAATATGTAGAAAATGTCTTCAAACTACTTTCTTGACACTCACAATTGCATAGCATAGATGAACTGCTTCCAAAACAATAGTAATGAACACGATGAACAAAAAAAAAACAATTATCGTATCCTGAAGTTTTATGTTCCAATTCAGGGATTCAACAATAACTTATTAATGTTCTTGGATGTTTTGAGCTCTTCATAGATGAATATTTGGGAATTGTCAAGAAGGTGGCAAGTTGGCAAATATGGTGCTCATTAATACATACACAATGTGGTTGTCATATACTGAATTTCCTGTGGGTTTGAGGCTATGGGTCTTTAGTGCATAATCATAATAAGTTTCAGAAATAGATATCCTTTCTTGAATTATACCATGTATTCATATGTTCTTCTTTATCCTAAATTTATTTTCGAAACTGTGGATTAAACAGAGTTAATTTTAGGAGTTGAGTTGATACTTTTAAAGTATCAGAACTTCAAAAATTTAAATATAAAAAATATTTTGTCTGGAAATATTGCTGATTTATTATGTGCATGTTTTTATGGTTTATTTGTTTTTTGTTTGGTATTTAGTCACCAGTAGTGGTATTTAGTTTTTTTTTTGATTTTACGCATGATAATGATAATAATAAAAATTGTTATTATACTTTGGTCATCACTAAACTATTGGGATTTCTTGGAATCTAGCATTATCACCTATATTAATCACATTGTTAAGTTCCAAAACATTTATATTATCACAATTTGGTTAACATTTAAATAAAGTATGGGCTTATAACTATTTTGTTCATCTGTAATATATCTATTATAGCTGACACCAACATCTCTCTCGTTAGATTTACATTGTTGTCACTACTGTCTGTTCCTCTAGTAGAATTTTCATTCGTAACGATTTTGTCAAAACCTGGTAATGGTGCACATAATGAAAAATTGAACATCAAGTTTAAGTTTGGACACTTTCCAATTTTGAGAGTTTTTGTCCTGAATCCAACTGTCTTTTTAACTGGTTATCTTAAAACAAATTGATAGGTCATTTGAAACACGGTCTGCTTGAAAACGCTTATCAAGCTATAATTTGCTTATCAATCAATACTTTGATCACTTATTGTTTGTTTTCTAAAAGTTCAGTTCATTTGATTTAATATTTTACAAGCTTCCAATCTAGTCTATGGCCCTGAATAATATTTAAACCTATTTAGTCAGTATTGTAAGGGCTTTCATTATTTAGAATTTAATACTATGGTAATGGCTGTACATGTTGTTTAATATATCAAATACATTGTGGTGTAAGGGTTTAACTAAATGTCGTCCTCATAAACATAGTTGTTGTACTTGCATGAGAGTAAGTTTCAAGGTACCGTACTAAGTTTTGTTTTGTATTTCCTCTGCTATCAATTGGATATCAATAGATTGATGGAACTGAATATACTCTTGGAAAGGTTGGTATAAGTTGTACTGGAGTCAAGCTTGATTGTCTCTCAATTTGGCCACGTAGGAACAGAAGCTATTACTTTTTTGACAAAATAAACAGATAACAAAACCCTAAAAAATACAAGATGTTTTCGTTTACAAGATGTTAGTTATTATGTTTTTTCCTGTTTTGTTTTTTTTTCACTTTCAATGAATGTTGAATGATTCTCTTTTGGCACTGTTTCATTTGAATTTCTGTATGTTAAGAATTTTTGTAAGACTATACAAGCTTATTCAAAACCTCTGTTTCTTATTTGCAGCAATTTGGTGATGAAGATGAGAGAATTAGTGGTGATGTACCTGGAACTAATAAGGTAGAAAGGTTCTTTTGTAGAAATATCTCCCTGCTAGATTAATATCCCTTAAATCTTGGCCCGAATTAATCAAATTATACCTTGAATTGTAGCCGACCATTATAGAATTGACTATTTACACTGAGTGCCATAGCTTGACCACCTAAAACAGATTGCTCTAAAATGAAAAAGTGAAAACAGATGCACAAGCCAGTAGTATGGCCAGATCCGGACCCAGACCACCTTTTTTCGAGCATGCCAGGTCCTGATTGACATTTTGCTGGGTCGGGCAGAACAATTTACAGGTTTCCTTCCAAAGAATACATAGTCAACAATTCAAATAAATTAAAAATCTTACATCAACTTGTTGACCACTGTTTGTTTGTTTGTTTTTTCAGCCATTTGTAGCTAATGTTTTACTTGAAAAAGCAGAAGAGAATGGACCTGAAGGTGTAAGGTCAGCACCAGCTTCTTATGGTGCAGTTCAATCCTCTATTAATACCACCGGAGATTATGATGAAAATGTTTCAGATACTTAGTAATCTTTTACTTGCCAATATGTGTTTCCATTTGCAATTATCTTTATACACCCCATCAAATTCAAATTTGTGGTTCTAGAATATTTATGATTCAAAATATTGTGAAATTGTTAACATTAGTGGGGCCTCAATTTTCATGTTTTTTTTTGTGAAGCCACACGAAATTTAAACGAGTATAAATCAAATCAAGCCAATTGGTAAATAAATAATTGAATTAGGAGTAGTTGTTAAATTGGAATCCTCAAATTTGAAACCCAATGAAATTGAGAACAATTCCCTGGAATTCTGGGCCCACAATATATACAAATTCATAGTTCTTAAGGTTGTGAGATCATAAGAATAAACATCTGAAAGTTCATGTCAATTTACAAATACTATAGAAAACTATTAAAACATACATATATATAGTCTTAGAATTTATAGTATATTGTTATGTTGCTTTGACATTTCATTTATGTTATATTTTTTCAGTTTATTTATATAGTTTATGTAATTCTTTGGAATCATTCCAATATTCTTCATATTTCATAATTGTTGAGTTGAAAAGCAATCGTGGCTATTTCCTTCTCAATATGAACTTTGTTTAATTTGAAAATAGTGATTTGCAGTGCAATAAATGTATAAATAGCATAATTGTATGATTGTGGTATGGTTTTCAGTGTAGCAATATGTGTATAATTTGTAAAGTCTTTCTTCAACGTGATTCATGACACAAAAAAATATCTTCAAAATGAAATATTAATAATCATAATTCATTTAGAAGTAGAAAATAACCTTTTTCAGGTCATAAACTTACTTAATATTTATTGAAATTTCTGTAAGAATGGCATAATTTGTTTCTATTTTTTTTTTTCTTCTTCATTCTTTAATATAGGATAATAGTTAAATTTTTATTATAATCTTGTTTCTTTGTGGATTAAATGGAAGAATAATAAATTTATGATAAAGATTTAAATATTTTTTTGGTCTGAAAGGATTGTGGATACAATGAAATTAGATATAAGATTAGTATATCCAGAAGAACTTTGCATTTGTTCAGAAGATAGAATGTCTCTTGTTTCCTGATGGAAATGTCTTTTAGACTTGTTGCCATAGATTGATATCATCATGAAAAAAAATCTTCCTCATGCCATTGCCAGTGCTTATTAAAGTTGGATTGTCAACTATGTGCTCTGGTCTCCTCTGCCAAACCATAGGATATATAATGTCTCTCTCTAAGCTAGTTTTTATGATTGATTAATTAACATTACAGGCATAAAATCATAACAAAATGTTTTCATTTAATGTTATTAACAGAAAATTCAATTACAATAATTAATAAATTACATTATGTAATATTATGTACAGATACACTCATGGTATTTTATCACAGGGTAGCTTGGCTTAATACAATTCAATGTATTCAATAAACATTATTTACAGTACTATATACAAACAATATTGACAAGTTTAACAAATATATAACGAAATTAGGATCTTATTTATAACTTCTTTGGATGAATTTAAATAGAAGCTTGTCCCATAACCAATAATTCCATAACTTAAAGAGCCTGCTCTTCTTGAACTGTGGATTAACAGATCCCAGTTTTTAATCGAAACAATTAAAGGGAGGTAGTTGATGATCTAAAATATTTCTCATCTCCTATTATTCTCAAAGCAAGCTTCAAATCTGTTGGCATAACTGTAACTCGCTTAGCATGGATGGCACAAAGGTTGATATCTTCAAATAAACCAACAATGTAACTTTCAGCAGCCTCCTGAAGAAAAAAATTAAGGTAGGCTAGTCTAAGTCATAAATCTCAACTTCAGAACTTAAACCAAGAAATGCAAATCATACCTTCATTATTTTAAATTGGTGTTGCTGTCTAAAGTAAGTGGCAAGGATCTTGCACAGATTTTATTTGTCTGTATGCATTAAAGTTTTTATGATAAATTCTCAAGCAATCTCAAAAGATTGGTTTGATGCAGATTCTGGTACATGATGATCATCTATTTAGATCTAGTATGCTATAAAAAAAATTAGGCCTAGCTCCAGTGACAGTGAAGATGATCCTAGCTTTAGTCTAGCTTCAAGTAGGCCTATCTTTTATTTTGCGAAGCCTAGGGCATGGTCGATCTTAACCTTATTACAACTAGTCCGACAAGCATTAAAACCCACCTGCAAGGCAGCCAGGGCAACCACATGCATTCTCAATCCTGGATATAATGTTGCTGCAATCTCACGAACCATTCTTTGGAATGTTATTTTGGGAATCAGAAAATTCGTAGACTTCTGATAGGCTCGGATTTCCTGAATAGCTCGAAATCCAGGTCGATATCTGCCATACTTTTTCGTCTTCACTCTGTCAGCTTTTCTTATCGATCTTGCTGATTCTCTTTTGGTGGCCAAAACCCTCTGGATTTTGATGTCTGTTTTCCAGGAGTGTCGTAGCGGAGCCTGTTTAGTTCTGGCCATCTGCAGTGCCAAGACGGCAACTGACTTTTGGTTGTCTGTCGTCTGCTAATCTGTCATTTTCGATTTGACTCGAACATCAAGACAGAAGCAGATAACATTGTGAGTTGCTTCCCCTGAATGATTTAATACTGATTTATGTGACAAACGAGTCTACAATCACCTGCAGAAGGAAATGACGTCAAAATGTAAACTTAGGCACGTTGTGGAAATGGAGGAAAAAGAGGAAATTCAACTTCTAAAACAGAAGCTATTAGAGAAAGATGCAGAAATTAATCGACTTAGATCGATCGTAACATGCAAGGTAATGCAATTATTTGGATATGAAAGATGTTGTCATTTGTAAAAGTTCATTGAATGATTGACTCAACAGCAGTTTTTACCATCTTCATCTTCACGTTGAATTTCGACTGGCTACTGCCAATTTATGAATTGAAAATTCTACTAAAAATATTTCGGAGATTTTTAGACTGACCTTGTCAGTTGATGAAAGTTTTAGCCAATGAAACAATTATTATTGTAAATATTATTTTACAGAGGGAATTTTCAATTTGATATAATGATAAGTAAAAATATCAGTGAGGGAAGTGTGTCTATTTCAAATGTAAACCACCAAACTATATATTTCTAAAGATCTGAAACCCACTACTACAATTAAATATTTTCTGTCATTTTCAGCTGCATGCCAATATTATTAGATTGTCTTTTAGTGGCAATCATCTTGAGATTCAAAATGCATAGCCACCCTTGGATGGTCTGATGGGCTCCTTCTAAAAGAAAATTTGTGAAAAAAAAGAATTGATTTGTTGCATTTTTACAAATATTTGCATTTCACATAAATGATATCTTTCAATTTGTTAGAAATAAAGTTGGGGTAATTTCTTACTATTTTATTTATCATTTTATGATAGGAGAATGACAACTTCATGCCAATCAAAGATATTAGAAAAGAAAGTGTTTTAAATAACAAAGAGCTAGACAATGATGATATTAGTAGATATAGTAGACAACTTATTTTACCTGAAATAGGTGTTCAAGGTATTATTTTTATATATTTTTTTCACCAAGCAAAAATGGGCATATTTTGACCTGATCTGTCTATTTTTATATCAATACATCTTGTGTTTGTCTGTCAAAACCTCATTCTATTGTTAATTTCGCATGTTTTAATGGTTTGGAATATTGTTTCAGAATAAAAGTTATTGGTATCTACATATTTGCTTTAACAGTAAATAAATACCCAATAACATAACAATTTCAGAATAAACATAAAAAGTCTAAGTATTGTACTAATTTATAAAAACACAGCATAAATGTTTAAACTTTTGGTTGATATTGCAATTTGTGATCTCTGTAGAGAACATAACAGAGACTAACATTTCATAGGGACATAAATATGTTGATTGGTTGTCGCAAAAAAAAAAACAAACAAAAAAACTGTATCGAATGATAATAATTTCGTAACATTATTGAATGATCTTTTTTGATCATATTTTGATGATATATTAAGATGTTTTTTTGCAGGTCAAATTAGGTTAAAGAACAGTAAGATATTAATAGTGGGAGCTGGAGGTTTAGGATGTCCGGCAGCTATTTATTTATCAGCTGCAGGAGTTGGTATGTTACTGTTTTCTTTTGTCTATTTAAAGGGGTTGATTTGAATATATGTAAATAGTCTTCAGAAGACCTATAAATGTAAAAAATTTCATAATTCCCATTAAAATATTCCAAACTATCACTAGGAATTTCTTTTCCTATTTGTTTAGATGTCTTTTCTATATGGCAGTGTCTTGACAAGACAATGCGACTTTTTAACTTTCAAACGCAAATAATTGTGGACACACATGGATTTGGAGGCTCAAATTTCGACAATTACTGATTGGTTTAGCTAAAAAAAACAATTCCTGTTTCTGATTAGTAAAATGATGCATCTGTCCCTTGAAATGATGTTTATATATCTAATTTCAACCATAGAATGAAGATTTTACCTCCTAAAAGAGTATATAGTAAAGGACAATGTTATGTGGAACTATTTTTTTTTTAATGATGTACAAGTGTATGTAGTGCTTATATTTATCTATATTATGGACAGGAAGATTAGGAATAGTTGATTATGATGAAGTTGAAATCAGTAATTTACATCGTCAAATATTACATGCTGAATCTCGTGTTGGTCTACCTAAATCTCAGTCAGCTTTTATAACTTGTCATGGGTAGGTATAACTGTGAATAATTTTTTTTTTTGGCATGAAAAGTTCTTATTATTCTAAATTTCTAGATACTTTACAATTTTACATTCGATACAGAAAAAATGTAAACCTTAACAGTTGTCATGCATAATTGTATTATCAAAATTGAGAATTGATTTGTCACATGTAAATATATTTTCAAAATTGAGAATTGATTTGTCACATGTAAATATATTTTCAAAATTGAGAATTGATTTGTCACATGTAAATATATTTTCAAAATTGGGAATTGAATTGGTCTCAAGTAAAACTTATGTTACCTATATTATTTGATTCGTCACTTCTTTTTTTCAGATTAAATTCAAAAGTTGATTTTGTGCCATATCATCTTGCATTAGATAGTTCAAATGCCTTACAGATTATTTCTAAGTATCCTTTTTAAAATACGCATTTTACATATAATATTCTACCCAATTAACATGCACTTGGTGCAATACTTAAGATCATATTGGACTACATTAAATGTCTTACTGACTGGATTAAATTAATTTTCAATGTGATTACACTGAAGGGCTCATTTAAGGTGGCAAAGGACTCTATTGAATTGATGTATTTACCCTACTCTTAAGTAGGGTTGAAAAAATTGTCTATAGACTCATTAAATTGTTCCTCCCCACGGAAATCTTTAGTAAAAGGCGAAAGATTTAAGCGTAGTGAGGTGAAACCAGAGTAATGATATTGGTAGTAAAACTATGATATAAAATTTTTCTTAGCAATATTCAGTGTGGTTTTAGGAAGTTGAAATAATATTTATATAAAAAAAGTCTTTGATCAAAAACTTTTAAATTAATGTTCATCTAATACACAGATCAATTCTTCAAATTTTGGATTTTTTTTCTTTAAGATGTATAAATTAGTAAAGCCTGTAAAAATCATTTAATGTAAACTTAATTAAACAAGATTTGTGACTAAGTTTAAATATCTATTGTGAATAGGCGGACAGTTATAAATAGATGACCTAGTTTAGTTTACTTTATAAGATATAGCACAGATGTATTGTAACATGTGTAAGGCCGTTGTACACTATAGCTTCATACCTTATCACCTCAGGCTTTCAAATTGAATGCATGTGTTGTCCTCACATTGACTCTACATTCAAATCCTTTAATCAATTTAGCTAAATATATGATTTATCCAACACGATAATACTTTTCACCATATGTAACGTTATAGATTTCAAAATTTGCTTTGTTAATAAGAGTTAACTGTATATATTATAGAATGTAAATATCAGAATTGTCCACTCTCTGCCTTAATTATTTATTATATTTGAGCACATTTACTTGAGCATAACAATTTATATTAGAACTGTCATATTTGAGCTACAGGAGTCAATTATTTGCATCTAAGTTCGTAAAATAGATGTAGAAATTTCTCAGAAACCTGTTGATTTTACAATGTATTGTGTCAAAAAAGAAAGTGTTCTTTTAAGTGAAAAAAAAATCTCAAATTTTACTCTAATTTTAATCTAAAAAAAAATCAAAGAATTTAATTTTTGGAACTAAGTTTTGTTTAATTAGTTTTCAGTTTCCTTGACTATTATAAAGATATGATATAGTCTTAGATGCTACAGATAATGTGGCTACAAGATATTTATTAAATGATGCCTGTGTTTTAGCTGATAAACCTCTTGTCTCTGGTAGTGCTCTCAGATTTGAAGGGCAGGTAATTATTTTAACTGTATACAATTATAATCAAGGACCATGTTATACTTGTTTATAACATGACAATAATATTTTATAGATAACAATATATGAAAAAATATTGATATTTTCTAATCAAAGATATATAGTTATAATAGAGGACCCTGCTATAAAATGATATTTATATTTTGTAGTTAATGGTATATAATTATTATAGAGGACCCTGCTATAAAATGATATTTATATTTTGTAGTTAATGGTATATAATTATTATAGAGGACTCTGTTATAAAATGATATTTATATTTTGTAGTTAATGGTATATAATTATTATAGAGGACCCTGCTATAAAATGATATTTATATTTTGTAGTTATTTGGTTTATAATTATTATAGAGGACACTGTTATAAAATGATATTTATATTTTGTAGTTAATGGTATATAATTATAATAGAGGACCCTGCTATAAAATGATATTTATATTTTGTAGTTATTTGGTTTATAATTATAATAGAGGACCCTGCTATAAAATGATATTTATATTTTGTAGTTATTTGGTTTATAATTATAATAGAGGACCCTGTTATAAAATGATATTTATAGTTTGTAGTTAATGGTATATAATTATTATAGAGGACACTGTTATAAAATGATATTTATATTTTGTAGTTAATGGTTTATAATTATAATAGAGGACCCTGCTATAAAATGATATTTATATTTTGTAGTTATTTGGTTTATAATTATAATAGAGGACCCTGCTATAAAATGATATTTATATTTTGTAGTTAATGGTATATAATTATTATAGAGGACTCTGTTATAAAATGGTATTTATATTTTGTAGTTAATGGTATATAATTATTATAGAGGACCCTGCTATAAAATGATATTTATATGTTGTAGTTAATGGTATATAATTATTATAGAGGACCCTGTTATAAAATGATATTTATATTTTGTAGTTATTTGGTGTATAATTATAATAGAGGACCCTGCTATAAAATGATATTTATATTTTGTAGTTAATGGTATATAATTATTATAGAGGACCCTGTTATAAAATGATATTTATATTTTGTAGTTAATGGTATATAATTATTAAAGAGGACTCTGTTATAAAATGATATTTATATTTTGTAGTTAATGGTATATAATTATTATAGAGGACTCTGTTATAAAATGATATTTATATTTTGTAGTTATTGGTTTATAATTATTATAGAGGACCCTGTTATAAAATGATATTTATATTTTGTAGTTAATGGTATATAATTATAATAAAGGATTCTGTTGTTATAAAATGATATTTATATTTTGTAGTTAATGGTATATAATTATTATACAGGACCCTGTTATAAAATGATATTTATATTTTGTAGTTAATGGTATATAATTGTAATAAAGGATTCTGTTGTTATAAAATGATATTTATATTTTGTAGTTAATGGTATATAATTATAATAAAGGATTCTGTTGTTGTAGAATGATATTTATATTTTGTAGTTAATGGTATATAACTATAATAAAGCACTTTATTGTTATAAAATGATATTTATATTTTCTAGTCAAGGATATATAATTTAAATAAAGGACTATGTTATAAATGTTTATAAAATGATATTTATTTTTTTCTAGCTAACAGTTTATAATCATGATAAAGGACCATGTTATAGATGTTTATATCCTAAACCACCGCCACCAGAAACTGTTACAAATTGTTCTGATGGTGGAGTCCTTGGTGTAGGTAAGGGATTTTTGTGTATCTAGCATAATATTTATATTAGAAGTCCTTATCAATAGAATCATCACATATATTGTTGACATAAATATGTTAATTGTTTCGAAATATATTGGATATATTCAATGATCCTATTGGAATTCTCACCTCTCTGAAGTTGAAACAGTATTAAATGGTTTAATTTGCTGAAAATTGTTGTTTTAGTAATGGAAAAGGCTAATATAGCTTTATTCTTGCATCTTATCTTGTATTTATAGTTCCCGGAATTATTGGATGTTTACAAGCTTTAGAAGCCATTAAGATAGCAGCAGGAATCAGCAGTATCCTCTTTATTATAAATTTTATGTTTTATTTATTCCGTTGACAAGCAATCTTAGAAATGTCAATCTAAAATCAGTGTTACACCAACAGAATTTACGTTATAAAATGCATCATGGGTAATTCAGTTCATACAAAATATCAGCATGGACACCTTGGGGCAAAAATAAATACCAAGATCAAAATTCATTACTACCAATTGTTGACATAACCAAGAACATCATGTAATGATTCCAAAGCTCTAATCTAACCAACAGCGCATCCTATTGATATTGCTATTGAACACCGGTCATGAAAGGCTTATGCTGATCTGTGCTGGTGATGGATAGCAACTGCCTACAGAATAGATGGATAGTTCAGGATTGATTCCTTAAATCAATTTAGCATCATTTAGTGAGAGGATGTTATTATTTGATGGTATTGATGGTTTATTTCGTAATATAAGATTAAGAGGAAGACAAGTGAATTGTCCTATATGTGGTGATAATCCAACTATTACTAAACTTATTGATTATGAAGAGTTTTGTGGGGCCAAGGCTACTGATAAGGTAAGAAAATAGTGATAATTCCAGTGCCTTGTTGATTTTAGATGTGTATCCATAATTTTATTCTTCTCCTAGTTGAGTCCAGTGTTGAGTGTTGCTAGCAAGGCAGGGCATACTGTCTGTAACTGGGTTTGTCAAGATAAGCTTGATAAAAATAAAAGCTTTTGATCACCTCATGGATAAAATAGTCTCAGGAGTCCTGTAAAAGAGTGAACAAACTCTTAAGAGGCATGAAACATAAAAAAGGGTCAAAACGTACATGGCATCTTTCTGTGAACATTCATATATACTTCAGAAAGATTAAAACAGAACTTGACTCTCAGAGTTTCATGCTATGCTATCATTTTACACCATCAGAAGTTGTCTGAATATCGCAAAACATGAAACTCTGAGTAACAACGTGATTCTGTTTTATTATTACTAAATGGTTCTACAATTGATATGTTGAGCACTATTTTATTATTGTATATTAGTGTTTATTCAATATATTTATAATAATGAAGAAGTATTTGCAGATGTTAATTTTAATAAATTACATTCGATAAATTTATGTAGACAGACATTGTCAGCCCATAACAAGAGAATATTGATGTTTTTAATTTTGTAGGATAAAGATATTAGTTTATTACAAGAGAATCAAAGATTATCATCAAAGGTGAAATTGTTTCATCATTCTTTATTCTCTTTAATGTTTACAGTTGAATGTGAATAATATATATAATATATTTGCATAATATTCTGTATTGTTAAAGGGACAGGTTTTCCATTTTCATGGGGGTTGATTTAGGTCTTGAATATATGTAAATAGTCTTTAGGAGTACTAGAAATCTATAGCTATATATGGCAGATTATCAAGATAAGATGGGTCATCAAATTTAACTTTCACAAAACTCATAATTCTGGACTCACATGTCCCTTAAATATGCATGTGATCGTAGAGTCACCTCTCATGTCTTTAATTTTATAAATAATATTTGTTTTATTACAGGAATATAAAAGATTATTAGTGAATAAAACACCTCATATATTAATAGATGTACGTCAACCAGTAGAATTAGATATATGTCAATTACCTAATCCAAACACTATCAGTATCCTTTTATATCAATGTTGTTTATGTTGAATCAGTTGTGATCGTTTGTTCTAACATTGGTGAGTTTTTGAAAGCTATTTTTCCAACAGATGCAGCTGTAAATGGGTAAAGATATTCAGGGAAAGATCAGAGCCTAGAGGTTAAGCCAAGGACCAACTGGTTACCAGCATCCTCATGAGCCTAAGTTGTTGGCCTTGTAAAAGAATGGATTTTTTGAATTTTTGTTGTTATCTGGCCCTGTCTGTTTGTTTTGAAAGAGTATTTTTTCTAATAGCATAAATGCAATGACAATGTTTACTTTAATCTCTAACTAGATATTCCTGTTTCACATCTAAAGAAAGAAGAGAAGATGAAGGAAGTTAAGACTAGTATAGATCAATTAAATTCTAACTGTGATATAACTGTACCTATTATAGTGGTCTGTAGAAGAGGTAATGATTCTCAGGCAGCTGTTAATGAACTTAAAAACATTTTATCTGACAAAGATAATATCACTATACAAGATATACGTGGTGGATTACATGCGTGGGCTAAACAAGTTGATCCTAATTTCCCTGTGTATTAAACAAAATCTTTTGTTATGAAATATTTTCCAAATACTGATCAATTATTTCTTGAAGGAAATTTTAGTTTTAGATTATACAATATGAGACCTCTAAACTTAGAATAATAAATTGTAAACAAATCAGATGTCAGATTTTCATTCCTAAACATAACAAGAATTCAATAAATATTAAGAGACATCTAAACATGTTGCAATTCTTGATGTCCTTTATGTATAGGTTTTAGGCATAGGACATACTATAACAATGCATAATAATTCAAAAGGCAATTAAACAAAAAGTTTAGTATTTAATATAATAAAATATATACATTTAACAACTGTCTTCTTAAATAGTATTATATGTATTGAAGTATATTCTTCATAACAGTTGAAAAGGTAGCATCTCAAATAAAGGCCACCCATTACCTTTGAATATTAATTCATTATTTACTTCTTGAAGGTTTTGATTATGTTTTCAGATACAGTCCACTTTCTTGGCTTGACACTATATAGCACTTATTAGCTTTGACTAAAGTTATACAGCTAAACTATTCATCTTCATTCTCCTCCTGAGAATTAATACTGAAACTAGATCCACCGCTCAGTTGTTTAAACCGTAATCTTTGATACATACTTTGTGCTGGCAAAGAACTTCTACGACTTTTATTAAAAGTTTTTGGTTGGTTAAGATTTGGAAGTACCTCTGGACTTGTTTCACACGAGTTATCAGAAGAATTTTCAGTCGATGAATTCATAACATTACTATAAGATGGTGGTAAATCATTATTATTCTCTTTTGTCTGGGTAGTTTCACCATAACTATATAAATTATCAGGACATGATGATGATGATGGTAGATAACCAGATCTGTGAGAGAAAAAACAGAATATGAAATTCTGATGAATGTGAAAATATTCACAGTGTTAATTGTATGGAGGACATTGCATGCCATCCAGTTGTAGGTGTAGAAGTAGGTCTAAAATTTACCCAACATCTAACCATTGCACTAACGTCACTTTACTGGCCACATAATTTGGTGATAAATACCTGAGCCATTGATAAAATGACAGTCCCATTCAGCATCACATGAACTTTGCATAATGTTAACATCATAAGCTTATATTATTGGGGTTTAGTGTATATGAGGTATATTTAATTGACACTCAGTGTTCAAAGGGTTAAATGTCCCCAAATTATTAAAAGGATCAGTGGGTGAAACTCAAGTCCAAAGTCCCCTTCCCATTCAGAATTCTAATGATAATTTACAGTTGAATGAGTATGGGACTTACTTTTTAAAATGTATTAAATTTGAGCCACCTGCAGCCCAGACTTGGTTGATTTGTTCATCTGATATTCTACCTTGTAAATAATTATCTATATCTTCTGTAGTAAGATCAGTTTGTACAAATAGATGATAGGAGACATCAGATAAATATAAACATTCTGTCTGTACTCTGAAAACATACATATTGTTTACAATCATTTTCAGTGGTGTAATTATGAATTGTTAGATCTCCTTCGACCCCCATAGAACAGTATATAAATATTTTTGATTGTCATTGAAAGATCATCATATATCCATGGAGTTAGGAATCGTCATATAAATTTCAAGAAGTAAAACAATTCAGTTGACAAAAGCTCCCATGTTTTCTTGGAATTTGTCGAAGTAATGGATACATGATTTTCTGGAATGGTTGTTCAAGGGGCACCACAAGTTCCCGGAAAGCCTAAATTGATAATGGTATTGATTCAGATATTGTTCATCAGTCTTCACAACTTTCTTTATCTAAGAAAAGGTATCAATAAAGTTGTATTTTGAGAAGTGTTTTGAAAAGCATGTTTAAAATACCTGTTAAGATAATCTTCTAAATCTTTTCTTCTTTCTTCTAAGAAACATCTGTCAAATTTATTGGCAAAAAACTTTTTGGGTGGAAATTGTTGTGGTTTTCTGAAAATTGAAAATCAATTTCATGAAGAAAAAAAAAATAAGAAGCAAACAGTAACAAAATTATCAATTGCTTTTCAAACCCCCTCCTTTTGAATATTTTATCACAATTTTTCATCAAATTATGACCTCAGACGAAGGACTAGATAGCAACTAATTCATTGATATTAGACAAAGTGCATTACTTAGGACATTTGATATGATATGTTGGTTATCACATGAACTACCTAATATCAGTGTAATGAACTTATCACATGTTCACTTTCACCGTGACTTTTATTTTTGTAGCCTTCATATGACTGCGTACTTAATGACATTGCATATATATTTTTTTCATATGACAAAAACACATGGTACAAACTAACTTGTACATGTGTAAAACATTATAGTGGACTGAATGGAACACTTTGAAATCATTAAGCTGACTACTTACATGGAAGGGTGGTGTGTTTTCAAGGTCTTTTTTAGCCATGTAAATTCTGAATATCTTCTGCCTGTTACAGATCTTTCTAAATGGTAGGCTTGATGTTTAGTCTAAAAAAAAAAATATACATGTTATAGAAATTGAAGCATGATGAAAACTAAATATCTACTTGTAGCAGTGAGATTTGGACATTCATTTGTCTCTCATGACCTGCATTGAATATCAAACTATTCAAATTAAGATAACAATTTTGTTCCTGTTTTTTAGTTATTTTTTGTTTCAATTGTGATCTAACGACAATCTGATTCTTAACAATAAAGTTCTCGATAACAAGGACAATTGTTTGATAGCAAAACCCAAAGGTGAGCATCATGACAGCCTTTTTATGGTTTCACTATCTGAAATATAATTTTATTAGCTGGAAAAGCAATAAAATCAAAATGAACTGGTTGTAGTATACCTAAGCTCCACCTTCTTTCCTCTAAATTTCTATTTGTCTTTCATGTTAAGTTATCCACATATGGTACAACAACAAATTGCTGATAATAGACCATGGTTTTCCTAGAAGACATATTTTATATTACAATAAAGGTTATTTACCTGTATTGTTATATCATATGTTGTATATCTTCCTTCATCCCATGTATTATGTGTCCTAGGGTTTAATACTCTTATTACTGGTAACATCACCTTGAAATACAGTAATATTAATATATATTCAAAATGTCTTTTAGTCTTTTAGTTTCATTGTTTTTTCTTAGTTCAAGTAGCATATTTGATCTTTGTTTCTTAAAGGGATTGTAAAGAGGTTTTCTAAATATTTATGCATATCTGGGACATTGATAGCATCAATTTGGACCATTCCAATTTTCAATCAGACCTAAGGCCCTTTGTGATTAGTGAGGTATCAGAGCTGTATATTATTATATGTTTGTATCTTGACCTGTTTTGAAATAAGCCAAAAACTGGTGACAAAATATAATTACTTATTACTTAAGACTAATTGTTTCAAAATCTCTACTTCTTAAATACTTAAACACAGTATTAAAGTTGAGATATCTTTGCTCATAGTTTAACTTTACCAATTTTAAATATCCACCACAAGTTTAACAAACTTTAAACCTACTGACTTCATTTAGTTCTTCCTTATTTTTATCAAACCTTTCTTTTACTGGATAAAAACACTATAAAGGAAATATTATCATTTCCTTGTGAATTATCATCAAATAACAGCATGTATAGATGTCCTACATCTTATGTTAAAAATGAAAGGAGTATTCTAAATTTAAAAATGAACTTTAGTACCCAATGTTTTTTTTTTGCAACTTAAAGAAAAGAGTAAAACAGCCAAAGATTGGCTTTTTCAACTGTCTATTAATATTTACTTAATGCAATGATGCACCAAATAGATATTCTTAAACCATACACTGTATAAACTTGGAAACATAATATGAGGGGGGAACAGGGACCACAAAAGTTACCAGGGGAGACACAGGCTTTTTCCTTGGCCAAATGAGTCTGAGAATTACTTTTTTATATACAATATTAATTTTAAAATAATTTTCAAAAAAGATAAAATCAAACTGTTTTTTTATTTCTTCTTGGTGAAGGTTATTAAGTTGCAATAAATATTTGATTATATTATTTAGCCTACCTTTTAAATGGATGTTATCCTATTTGAAAGAAATATACTCCAGTTTATAACTGTCTAAAGTGGTCCTTGGATTAATGTGACCTAACCATTTACTTAATGGTTAAAACTAACATATTGAAATAATGTATATTGGATAATATCTAGGTTACATTATGAAAATATAATTCTAACCAGACCTGTCAGTAGTCTTGTACTTTCCACGTGTAACAACATAATGACATCCTATGGAGTATTTTATGAGAATCTAAATGCTAACCTGGTCTCTGTTGGAACCATTAAATGCAAAAATTGTCCATATGCAAGATAGATATCCATATTCAAGGAAATGACATATCTTTCTGAAATACTTAACCCACAACTAGTCCTTGGCTTAAAATATATGTACATGTATGTCCAGACTAGAGGATCTTCTTATTATCTCTATCTGAACTTCTCAAATAAAAACCTGAACGAGTTACTAGACAATACCGGACGAAAATCGCTTTTAGAGATAGCCTGCCAATTTGAAATATGAAAGCCTAAGATACGAGATATTTCGCAATTGTACTACCCCGAAACGTTTGAGAAAGTTGAAGATACCGAGGATCTATTTTTGGGTCAAGATACATTTGGTTTTTATGTTCTAATCTATCATGAAACTATATCAGAAAGTTGAAGGTACCGGGTATCTATATTTGGGTTTTGTGCACCAGACTCGTGTAAGCATTTGGAAACCCTCGACCTTTCCCGTACCCACACGGTTGCGGACAGCATCAGTGAAACAACTCGGTTTCGAGCAAAGTGAACGCTGGATTGTATATTTCTGAACTCATCAACCAAGTTGAAGCTATGTATATAATTGCCCCTTATACAAGATAAAACGCTTGGCTTTCCAACCCCAAAACATGTTTGAATTACAAGGAAAACAATCTAAAAATTGAAGATGATTGGAACTCTCTGTGAACCCCTCTACTACAGATTCTCCAGGATTTGTTAATAAAGCTGTATCGAAGATGTTTCTTGATGAATATAACATCCGTATGCTACAAGTTTTCTTGTTTATAATTATGTGACATATTGACTTGACAAATAAATAATCCCGGAAATATTTATTATTGTGCTCAGTTCTTGATCAGAACCTCCTGAAGATGCCGAAGAGATTAGTAGCTTTCAAAACCAGAACTAGTCTGTACAGATTAACACGGCAGCTAACTGGTTATAACAACGCACAAGAATTCGAGTGGCAGGCATACTCTACAATTTTTGGATTGTTCCATATTGTCGGAATTAAATTGGCTGGCAATCTCATACAGTAAAAGTCGTAAAGATTGTTTGCAGGAATTGCAGAATTTAGATGAAAATGTAGAATGACGACCTTACCTTATTTAAATGGTGAGGATCATGATATTCTCTGGGTATTCCCATTTTGTAATTTGAGTTTATATTTACTGCTCTATGCCTCAATTGGAAACTACCAAATAATATGTTATGCTTTCAGTTTCTGATATCAGGTGGAAGATAACAAGATGAGTGATATCATTTGATTTTAGGTTACATTTATATATTAGGACTAATATTACGGTTGACTTTTCAATTAGCTTCACGTGATAAATTTGAGATTTTCTTTGGTTGTCAAGACTTATATTTAAATTGTCAATTTGTTCATATATACGACTGGATGTTCTAGATAAAGACCTATTTATAGTACTATATCTATTTATAAAGACATCAGCTGTATGGTTTCCTCGTGACAATTCAGTGACATATCAGACTAAGATTATTCGATGAGAGGCTTCCGAAGCCCTTTATAAAGATCAGAAGATGAGCAAACCTCTGATCTACAAATTCTTCCTCGGGCATGAGATATTTCACGTGTTACTATATTAAACGAAAGATTAACCCAATATAGCATTCCAATCATAAGAGTAGAGTGGTCGAAATTCATACATATTACTCACGAGTTTCACGTTTGTGTTCATATTTTCAAAAATAAGCCATGTAAAATCATCGAGGATTTCATCGCGAAGGTCGAAAATGTATACCAACGAAGCAACCCTATGTCAATAAACTAAACATATTTTAGAACATTGATCAGTGAAGTAATCAATGATGTAGTACTTTTCAATATGTTGGTTAATTTATCGATCATAAGATACATACAGATAACACATTTAATATTCTAAACTACATTTATCACGTAATTTACCAGGTTTTTCCTCTCGAGCGATGCACGTTGAAAAATTTGTCAGTGCAAAACGTCTTGCGTTTTAGGTGGACATAATGCCGATGTCCCTTATGCTGCAGTATTTGCGCTCCTTTACTTTTTTAAGTCGTCAGTGTTGCAAGTAAAAAGAGTTAATGAATATTTTTTGCGCCGAAATGCTGACAACACCTTACATAACTTATCGATGTATATGCCAAATATTGATAGCCGTTGTTTAAGAACTGATTCTTTCAAAATTTATGAAATTCTGTATATATCAAATATTAACCTGAATTCTGAAATTCAAACTAGTTCAAGATATTAAATGTATAAAATTGAGTTTTATTGCAAAGACAATGGCCAAAGAGAAAATCTTTTCAACGAAACATCGTTCAATTCTTATATATAAGAATAAACATAGGCCTAGATCAAGATTCCCTCAAATCTGTTGCACTATTGATTTTCAAGTTTAAAAAGATATCTCTATTCACTTGGTCCAAATATTTACACTTAAAGTAATCAATTTGTTAGCGTCTGTGGATAATACAATGTTGATGGATGCTATATAAACTCATAAAGAAAGGTATTAATCTAATCGTTATTTCTGATCAACCAATCCTAATCCATTGATCCCTTATCAATGGTAGCGGTAATCACGAGGATTGATCAATCAAGAATCAAAACAATTCGGCGCGAATTACGAATGGTGTTAACTTAACGATCACTTCAGAAGCTGTTTTAAGATTGAAGCCATTGAATAATCAGTGTTCAAAATGTATATATACCCTAGAAACGGTTACATTGTCACAAATTTATGAAGCTTACGATACTTTGTTATAAGTTTATATATACGCAGTGCAGTCGTTTGGATTATATTCGACATTCAAAATTGGAAGTTACGGCGATCGAGCACAAGGTAAACAATTTTTTTTTTATTATAACCAATGAAATGAATTGTAGATAATATATTTTTGTGCGATTACTTATATAATAGACCTAGACATACTTACACCATAGTGTCATATACTCATAATCAAATGCAAGAATCTGCTTTTTGCAAAAGCCTGTCCGTTTCAAAATGGTTCAAATACCAGTATAATTTAGATATTATTGATTATTGACAATTGTTCTAATATATATTTGCAATTGTTTGAAATGTAACATCTATTCCTGTTTGTATTTATAATTTCCCAGTTTGCTTGTAAACTACATTTTGTTTTTCAGGTACCATGAAAAGCCTCTTAAAGACAACGTTGGTAGCATTATTGGTTTTCCTTTTGATGTGTTTACTGTTTCTTACTCTGATGGTGTTTACCAATTCAACACTGATATTGGGTTTTAAAACTACTGGTGAATGTTTTATATGTCACAATAAAAATGAAATATAGACACAGCTTTATGGAACAACAATCACTGGTTAAAGTTTTATGCAACGTTTCGACGTGTTTCCCCCGTCGTCCTCAGGCCTGAGGACGACGGGGGAAA